TATGAATAAATAAAATTAATTAAGTAGAAAAATTACAATATTTTGCATAAATTTATTTTGGAATTAAATAACTATTTTTGGATAATTTCATGATTAATTTATTGATTGAGAAGCTTGTTTTTTCTCTAACTGTGCAGACTGCTGTAATATGAGATCTTTGTATAAGTATGTAATTTGTATATATTTGGTTGAATCAAGTAATCCTATATGTGCTTATACTAAAGTAATGTCAGAGAAGCCAAGCAAGCAACAAATACAAAGTAAAATTTCTAAGAAAACCAAATTTTGAAAAATTTTACTTTAAAAGGGAATTTATTAAATATTTTGGTTTTGGATTTTGAAATTATTTTAAATTTATTATCTTCGTATTAGCTAGTTTAAGACCTTTAAATATATAAGCAAGTTTTTTGTTTTTTTTTGAAAAATAATAAAATAAAATGACGACTCTATTTCTTCTACTATCTACTACACATAAAATTCTTAAAATAGAAAATTTATATTTTTCGTTGGCCTCTCGTGACCGTTTATAAATAATTGTCAATAATTTAAGGGATTTTATTTATCATTAAGTTGCCAAAATTAGAGAAATTCAGTTTAAATATTAAATAAAATCATTCGAATTTGTGAGTTTATAATAAATTAATTTTATTTTATTGAAATTTTGACATCGAAGATATAGTTTTATGTCTTACCATAATATTGCTCTCATAACTCGATTTTAAAAATGTTTAGTTAAAATTTCATAATTCGAAATAGTTTTTATAAAGTTTTTATACATTGTTATACTTATAATTTTTAAAAAAATTTCAAAGTTTATTTTACAATAATTTTAAAATTTTACAAAAATAAAATGTATGATTTTCTTATGACACACAACGCCATCTGGTTGAAACTCCATCTCTTTTGAATTAATTCAATTTATCAAACAAAAACTCATTGGTTGTTGTATATGTTAACGATTTCCATTGAATGAAACGCGAGTTCCAGCCTTGCCATTAAAAAAAATAACGTTCAATGTGTAACAAACAGTGAAGTTTCTCAGTTTGCTCAAAATGGTGCATGGAAGTAGCAAACTATATAATATAGTGCCTCTTTTTCATCAAATTGATTCCACTGTTTGTAAGATTTCACGGATAAAAATTCGTGAAAATAAAATTTAAGCAAATATTTTTGGCAAATAAAATCTTGTAAATTTAAGATGCTTGAATCAAGGACTAATTTTTCGCAAGGTCTATGCATAAATTATTCGCGAAAGTATATACTAATGATAAATGTCAAAAAGTGAGTGTATGCATTGTATGATAATTAATCTTTTCCGAGTTCTGTCTAAACCAGAAAAAGCAAATACTTAACAAGTTTAATTCCATTACTATTTGGAAGGATACCGGATACATGCAATATATTATGAACAAATTATAACGAGTGTTCTTATATTCGACAAAATATAATATATGAGATTCTAGCTAAAATTTTTTCACGAATGCTTATATACCACTGTCATGAAGGCGTGTAATTTTATCTATACAAAATTTAGCAGAAATTTTACACAATACTAATAGAAAATGTTTTCTTTTTCAATTTTGTTCATTAAAAGATGACTAGTGCCAGTGAATATTAGGTGACATTAGTGGTTTCAAATTTATTCCTATATTATCATTACTTACTATACTATTAGTCAATTCTTTTGTTTGTTCCAATGGTCAATTTGTTCATCATTACGTTAAAACAATGTAGTTTTTCTGTTTTCAGTTATAACACCGATACCGTATAACACTAATTTCCAAATACGTCTTCAATCCTGGCAATCACTCGGCTCATTGCACGAGTTTCTGCTACATATTAGAGCGGATACGCTCATAACACACAAAACAACTGACAAGAAGTCTCTTTTTTTTATTTGCCTTCAAAAGCCGGCTAGTTAAAAGGCAGATCAATTAACTCAATTATTCAAATATTACGCAATACATTAAGCCATACCCAAAAATGTAAGCTCGATCATATGCACATTCATAAACTAACCACTTGCATTTTACTCAATAAGAAAACGCCATTTTTTAAAAAAATATTATAATCCATTTTTATTTTTATTTCATTTACATTATTGTTACAAAAAAAAAAAAAAACAAAAATCAAAGAAAATTGCATTTCGTTTAATAAACAATAATTTTGATTTGCTACTGGTTTTTATTTTTCTGTGATTTTTCTCTGCTTTTTCTTAGTTCATACCACGATGTTCTGTAACCTGTAACATTTCATTGCATACAATACATGTACACGTTATGTATACGTATATAATATAAGTCTAACTGTTTTGTAATTTTTTAATACAGTAAAAATTGCCACTGTATTACACATCGCACCTTTATTGTAACATACCATCATACCTTCTTCTTTGATATTGTAAAGAATAATAACTATGATACACTTTCAAATTACATTTATAATATTAATGTTGAGGGACGATTATAAAACAATACTGTATATGGTAAGTATTTTATAAATAATATTCGTAGTCGTTAATTGCATTTTATAAAAAGCAAACATTATCTGCTTACCTGTTATAATAAGTAACAGAAATTAAAGTTATTATTAACAGGATTTAAAAAAATATAAGAAGTGATAATATTTTTAGCATAAAACCGTGTTAATAACAGAATATTTATACAGAATAAAAATTTAAAACTACAAATTTTCAATAACATTTCAGGATATAAAATATTACTACCGGTATTGAGAACCGCCCTTCTATTATCAATATAGTTAAATAAAAACCGAAAATAGGAGTATTTCTTTTTATTTTTTTATATTAAAAATTTCAAATTTAAACTGTTTTTGTCATAATAATATATAATATTATAATTATATATTATTATGACAAATAGTATAACAGTCTTTAATAATTTTTTTCTATATATTACTGATATTCACGCAAAATATTTTATATACATTATCATACAACACGAATATTATTATTACATGTAAACTGTTATACAACACTGTATAACAGTTAAAATGAAAATAACAGATTCTTTATATTATTCTACAAAATAATTTTATTACTTAATTTTTTGTGTTTTCATTATTTTTATCAATTTAAAATTCTGTTATGTTGAAATTCTTACATTACATTCTGTTATACCAAAATGTTAAGAAATATTCTTATTTTTCTGTTTGCAAATTTGATTGCACTTTAATAATGGTGCAATTATTATTAATTATGTATGTAGATAATAGGTCAACAAAATAAAAATGTTGTAATTCTGTTTTACAACAGGAATAGTGTTTCAATATTGTGTTGCGAATTTTAATAACATTTATTGCTGTTAAATTTTGCAATATGCATACATACATATGTAATTAATTGTATGATCGTTTTACAGAAGCTTAAGAAATATTTTTAGAATATTTTTTTGTTCGTTTTTTTTTTTTAATTTTGCTGATTTTGTTCTCTTTTTAATTTGTTATCCTTTTTATGTTTTAAGATTTTCTTCTTACCGCCTTTATTACATTTATCGACTTTATATAATATACATAATAATTGTATGTGCACCTTTAACCTGCTACTTTTATATTTATAATTTTTAAATTTAACATACACATTCTTAAAATTAATACACATGCAATTTTATATTCGTATATTTTTACAGATAAATTTTTTTTTTTGTTAATTTATTATGTTATACATTTTTGTTTTTTGCAAATGTGTTAGTGCAACTTGTTAATTTGATTGGACTGTGTGGTTTTAATTTTATTTTATTTTTTGTTTCTTAACTTTATTTATTTTATATTTCTCCTTGCTATCTATATTATATACGTACCTATATTTTATTTTCTAAAATTTCAAAACTTGAGAACTTTTTGTTTATTTAAAGAAAACAAAAACAACTAACGACGAAAAAAAAAAAACCAAAACAAAAATAACGAAAACAAATAATAATAATAAGAAATTAAAAAAAAAAAATACACCACCACGTTACTATCGTTTGTTAACTGAGCGATAATAGTAGTTTACTGTGAAGTGAGGTACTGAAATGTTGGTTTCATGTTAACAAAACAGAAAAATAAAAAAAAAGAAGTAGAAAAATCAAAAATTAAAAATTAACCGAGAAAATAAATTTGATATTTTTTTTCCTACAAAAAAAAAAAATATTTTTATTTTAAAAATTTCATTCAATTTTGTATTGTGTGTGCATACATGTTTACATACTTGTATGTAAACTAATAATATTATTATTAAAAAAACTTAAATTTTATGATTTGTGGTTTTGTCGTGAGCTCATGTTTTGAGGTTTTCGCTTTTTTTTTTTTTTTAATATTGTTCTCGTTATACTTTGATTGCTTGAGTCACCGTAAGTTAACGTAATAAGAAAAAACAATATTGGACAAAAAAAAGAGACGTAAATAACGTAAGAAACGTATAAAAAAATATAAAATTTTTTAACTAACTCTTAAAAAAACAAAGAAAAGGTACTCAAAAAAAAAAAAAAATAATTGAATTTTTTGTTTTTGTAATTTAATATAGTGTGATTGACATTTCTATTTAAGTGCATACACATAGGGTCATTTTCTTATACACAAATATACATACATATATACACTGTACACGTACAAATTGCAGACAAATGTGTTTGGTTCAAATGGTATGATTACATAAAATTTAATAATAAAATTACAAAGTTAATGAAAGGGAACGTGCTCTAAAGTAGAATAATAAAAAAAAAAAAAATAACAAATAAAACATTTTACGTAATTTGTGGTTTAGCCGTCGCTGTCGCCGCCATGTATTATATGCAACCATTTTTATTTTTAACGCATTCATTATTTACCGTATATTAAAATTAGTTCATTGCAATAAGAAAAAAGAAAAACAAGTATGAAAAAATTTTATTTTTAATATTTTTTTAATAAAATTATTGAATATAATTACGAGTATAATTAAGTTTTTTGAAATTAATTGCATATATATGCAATTTCAATGATTTGAAGAATATAGAGTATAGAACTTAGAGGCGTAAGTTGAAATTTTTTTATACGCGAGTTACTTGTTAAGAGTAAGTATATTTTCAATTATAATCAATTTATTTTAGGATATTGTATATGTTAAGGTAATATATTAAGGTATATATAACCAGGATTTGAATCTAGGACCCTTCGGTTGAAGGTTCATTGCCATAATCACTTTAATGCACCATTAGTCAGTCAATATTAACACCCATATAGGATGTAAATTATGAACATGCTATACATCTAATCGCACGTTTTTTAGTTTCATATTTAAATGCGATTATTTATACTATATTGTTGATTAAGAAAGTATGAAATGTTGAATATCGACAATCGGTGGTTGTTATATTTGCTAATTATTTGTAAAAAAGATTTTTATATTTTGTTAATTTGAATAATATAAAAATCTTTGTATTGTTGTAGAGATTTGTTTCATATTGTAGAGATTTATGTACGTAATTTTTAACTGTATAACACATGTAGGAATTAAATTTTTAAAATAATGATTAATTTTTATTGCCCTTTATTTCTATATTTTGAATATTGCTTCTTTATAGAATTTATATTTACGGATGAAAATTTCCTCTGTTTATTCGTGGATTGCGCATGCGTCTATTAAAAATAAAGAAAGAAATTCATATAGGATTTTAAATATTTAACAATTATTTCATTCAAGTATGCGATTACTCTCATAAATAATGAAATTTTTGAACTTTATTTTAGTCTTAATTTTCATTTTCAGCCAATTTTTTTAAAATAATATTGATTTGGTCTTTGTTACCTTTTGTTGTTAAATTATTGGCATCTTTATAAATAATTTTTCGCTGTACATATATCGCATATCCGACGGCAACGTGTTTAAACTTATCTTACGTAAGTTTTAAAATACTTATACTTCTACAAAAATTTTAGACTGTAGCCAACGTAATATATTAAGATTACGCTAACATAATATATATTTGTGTATAGAATTCATAGTTGTTCAATATAGTATTGTATGATCGATACCGAAATTCATGAAAATAAATAATTATATAAAAAATTAATCTATTCTAGCTTAATTCTTGGATTATACAGTTTGATTCTCAATCTGAAATTATAAAATTCCAAAAAATCATAAAAGACCGATAAACAATTATTAAAAATAGAAGTTTATAATGCTATTTTTGAGAAATAAGTAAGAATTAAAGAAATGGGAGGCACATTAAAATGCGAAAATTGTATAATAATTTGTAAAATGAATAATTTCATTTTCATATTATTCTGCATCATCATACTATTCATGATGATCATTATGTAGGTCATTATGTAGCAAAAATTCCGAAATCGTAACATAATTATTTGAACACTATGTTAGCACGGGTCTATTTACGTCATGTTTAACAATTAAAAATTTGAAATTATTTTCTGTATATATTCTGTATATTATGTAAATTTGTTATAATTATTATATTTGTCGGCAAATCTTATGTATGATTGATATTGTGAATAATTTCTTTTACTAATTATTATACAAATGAAAGCCGTATTTAAACGAAACCAAGTAAAAGAGAAACAGATAACGCATTTCGGAATAGAATTTTACTCATTATTACATTATGTTATAATAAAATTTCTGCATATAATTAAAATTTATGTATATTTTTTATTTTAACACATTAAAGAATATTTAAATTTATATTAATATGTACTCCTATATGTATAGAGTTAACTGAAAGGTATATAAAAAAATGCCGCAAATAATAGAAAGATGTCTTTATAACAGCATTGAAAGTACTTATATTTAGAATTTTAGAATTGAAGTAATTAGATAGAACCTTTAAAAAAATTCTAAAAGAAAAAACAAGAAAAAAAAATTCGAGTATTTTTCCCATGAAAATTGCAACATTTAATGCCTTTTTCTTTTTGTTTAAATACAAAAGATTTTATTTAAAATTTGCATTAAAATGTGCCGGACAATTTTAAAATTCTAATTTATATTAAAGTTATTATACAAAATAATTATTATTTTAAAAAGTAAGATATAAAATCATTCGTTCATTATACTTTTTAACCATTTTCTATATAAGCAGCTCTAATCATCTTTTAAGACTCTAAAATATTAAAATATTCTATCTTTTAATCTTTTCTACACAATCATAATAATAGAGTCAAATGTGATTCTTATATTTATAGTAAATCACAAACTTTATGATATTCGAACGACAAAGAGACCAAAAAAGAAAAATTGGTCACGGAATATAAAAATGAGAAGAGAAAAAAGTTTTCTTTTTAGTTTTTCAAAAAAAAAAAAAACCAAAAAAAAATATTTTTGCATAAAAATAATAATATAATTGCTTTATTAAAAGAAAATTATAATTTTAACAAAAGAGAACAACGGACGGTGTTTGTTACTAGCCTTCAAAGGAATACAAAAGGATTTTATTCTTTTCAATCTCCGATTTTATAATATGCTCATACGTACGTATATCTAAATGTTTTGAGTAGAATAAGTGCTATGCTTATTTCTTCAATCCCATTGTCACGCCTTTTATAATTTTGTTTTGTTGCTCATATACATATTATGTGTATGTGTATATGTTGAAGAGAAAAGAGAAGATTATAATATGATTTTGTTGTCTTATGCCGCACAGCATATATGAGGGTATTGTGGTTTAAGAATAATTCGCACTTTTTTTTTTTATTTGGATACGCGTTCGCGGATTATGTCAAATATGTAAAACGTATTGGAATATTTTTTGTTTGTATATATATGTATATTATTATTTCATTAAATTATTTATATGTACTACTTATGTGTATATGAAATACCATGACATTTCAAAAAGAAAAATATAAAATCCTTAAAATAATTTCATTCTTATGACCATAAAATTGAAATTTCATTTTAAAAAAGAGTGTTGTTTTCGTTTTATTTCACTTTAATATTTTTCACCCAAAAATAATTCACTTTTAAGTTCTTACCCATACATATATTATGTATAAGTGAATAACCATAAATATTCTCTTACAAGTGAATGAGTGAGTGATTAAATTTAAAGCCACACGCATAGATTTTCGGATTGTATTTTAAAAAATTTAAAATTAAAAACAAAATGAATAAAAATTTTGGGTTGATCATAAAAGACAGAAAATAAAGGGAAAACAAAGGGAATTTTTTTTTTGTTATTTTTTGCAGTTCCAATAAGACCTACCAGTGTGCAAGATTTGAACAAACAAAATTTTTTTTAATTTTCTGTTTTATTGTTATTTTAACGTCAATATTAAATTGAAGTTTGCGCGCTAATGGAAATTGCTGTCGGAAATCTCAGTTGGAATGTTTTTCATTTTTTCTTTCCAATTTATATAATTTATACTTTTAAAATGACATTTTCATTAACTCCAAGACAGTATTTATAGAATTTTTTTTTTGTCCTTTATTTTTTAATTAAATTTATTGTAAAATCGCAATTTATTTGTTTTTTGTATGACAAAATCTAGTTATTTGTTGAGTCTATTTACATTTTGTTTAGAAGAGATTCGTTTAGTTCAAAGTCTAATATAAAATTAAACAGTAGGAGCCATATTAAATGACTGCATATTATTTTGAATTTCTTATTTTTAAGAAAGTTGTAGTCGCTTTTCAAAAGGGATTAGGATTCGATAACTAGGTTGTAACTGGACAAATATGGTACGCGATTCTTTAGGTAGAATGGAATTTGTGTCTTTTTCATGTGAATTTATTTCATTCCTGCACATTTTGTTTGTTAAGAAATCTATTGATCTAACAATTTTTTAGTAAAATCATGGCAGGCATAATTAAGATACACCTAGGTTTTTTCTTTAACTTCTATATCATTTCTTCTATGAACTTGATAAGTTTTCGGGATCTTTTTTAAAATAGTCAAAAACTTTATTCAAAAGTCTTTGCTTGTATGAAATGGAGGCGTTCTTCATTTTTCCGAAGACATTTAAAATTTTTACCCCGACAATTTGGCTTGTACAATTTTATGCCAAATTTCGTAAATATATTTGATTTTTTGAAGGAAAAAATCAAAAATCAGCCTCATTAAGTTCTCTACTGATAAAAATGACTTTTCTATATTTCTATAAGGACGAAAAAACATGACATGCTTAAAAATAAAGCCCGTCGGCTGTAACTAAAAGTTCTATATACATATTATATACAGATAACAAAAATAATTTATAAAAAGGTTGTACTGTACTTTTTCAATTACTGTGTGCACTACGGTATTACTTTCAATCAATATAAAACGCAATCGTACAAAGTACCAATTCTTTTTTGTACCGGACATTTCTAAAACCTTTAAGAATGTACTAAATAAAAACTGTGAAGGAAATCATAAATATTTATGTTAGCTATATATTACGCTATTTGTTGATATGTGTTTGCGTGTATGTTATAAAAAAAATTGTGTTCATATTTCAATCAAGCATGACATGACATTTCATCTTAAGGCCATATTTTAATAATGGGAACGGAACCTTTAAAAATACCAATTGTGTACATACACCAATAAAGATAAACAAATACAAATATTAATAAGAACAGCAAAAGAACAGAAACAACAACACCAACAAGAATAGTAAACCACAAAGAATAAAATATGAAAATTACCTTCCAATAAGATTGCGTAAAACTGGTAGCTTAACAAGCCATTATTGTTATTTTTTTCCCACTTTTTTTTTTTCGTTCTTGCTTTTTTTTCTTTTTTACTTCTCATGTACATAACATAGAAGTATTGAAAATCATCATGCCACATTAAAAAGACCATAATTGTATTTGATGTTGTATTGTATAATATGAGAGGAAAAGAGAAAAAAGTAAAAGGGTGCTAAAGATTAAAATTACAAAATAATGAAAATTCTATAAGAGAAATAAAAAGAGAAAGAGTTATAGGAAAAAAAATCAATTTAATAGAAAAGAATGAGATGAGTGTAATTCAGTAAAACAAAAAAAATGTTCTTACATCTGACGTACTATAATAGCAAGACCACATTATTGTAATTGTAAAATATTTCAGGAGTGTTGTTGATTTTGAATTGT